TTTTTTAAGCCAACCTTCGAAGATAAAAAAAAACTAAAGACGATAAATTTAGCACGAACAATTTAGTAGACAGCGCTTTTTGTGTTGCGAAAGTTGCCTTACTTGTCCCTCGTCTATATTAAGCATGTATTCGATTGAGAAAACACACCTTTGATATATTAAAAGAAATATTAGCTGTGTGTAAATAGTTGATGCGAACCACGCAAATAAACAATATATATGAAAGCCGACACGCAGAGGCATTTCCATTAAGAAATGACAACTGGCAGGCAAAACTGAAGACATCAAAATGACAATTTTTTATGACTTGCTCGAAAGTAGGCAACACAAATGTTGACAGGCAGACACAAACACACACACACACACACACACACACACTAATACAATAACAGCACAAGCCATTTCAATAAAGCGTCTACAAGTTTTTGGGCTAGGGTATTAAAACATATAGGGCGTAAATTCTAAACAAATATTTGATGTGGCCTACACTTGGGCAATGTCTTGCAAGTGAAAGATACTTGTTCTGTATATATATATGCATACATATATCTATATAATATTAATTTATATAATATGTATACTTTTGCAGAAGCCACATGTCAAGTTTGATGACTTTAGCTCTTGAAACACATGAGATTTGCTTAAGAAACTGAATTTCGATAAGTTATCGATCAACGGCAAGTTATCGATTGACGGAGATGCACTCGCACTGAGTGAAATTTCAAATTTCATTAGTCTAGCTCTTATAGGTTCTGAAATCCTTGATTTCATATATACAGAAGGGACATGGTTAGATCGACTGTTGATGCTGATCTAGAATCCATATATACCCTATGAGGTCGAAAATGCGCTAAACATTTTATGACAAAATTATAATATGCCTTTGAAGCGTATAGAAAATTAACTTAAGTTATTTTTTCTGAGTGTAGCATAGACATTAGAAGGCATATCTGTATATAAACCCTACACTAAAAGTAATCACCTTTTCTTATAAGTATATAATAGCAATGATAACAGTTCAGTTAAGAGTTCTTTTTTTTTTTTGACCCAAAATTATAGCAGAAAGAATTATTTGTTAAGTGTTGACTTGCTCAATAGCATCTCATTTATTTATAAATAATGTATTTAAATTGTTTTGCAGCTTGTTTAAGCTCTTTTTGCTTTAAGCAATAAAACATTTATTAATAAAAATGTGCTTGTACGCATCGCGAGGCGCCTTCAGCAGGCAGTCAATATTTCTTCTTTGATAAGAAAGTATGCAGCTTTTATGGTTATTTCATCATAATTCCTACATCTACGTATATTGCGGCTTAGTTCATTTGCTGTCTAGTCTTTTTTTTTATAATTGTTAATTTAAAAGCTGCTTGGCAAGCGATATTTATCACTGCGCACGCAGACAGGGGCAATAAAACGTTTGTTATGTATAAAAAGATGATTGCATTTTGTAAATGACATGACAATTTTGTTGTAACCAACCTGCACAAACTGCAGCCCAGACAAAGAAATCTAAATTATACTGCAACCCGACAGCGCGACGCGAACTATCTAAGACTCATGCGGGAAAAAACCAACTCAGATCAGCTGCAGCATCGAGCACGTGGGGCACAGATAAATCTACGAGCGGGCATTGCCCGGCCTTGCCCGAGGGAGCCGAAAAATAAACTTTCATTTAGTAAATCTTTGTACCGCAGTTTCCATCTAAGAGAAGTGAATCAGTCAATCAGTCTGGCATTCGATCGGTCAGTCAGTCTGTTTGTCAATCTTTCAGTCACTTAGGCAGTCAATCAGTCAATCAGTCAGTCAGTCAATCAGTTTTAAAGTAAGTCAGTCAGTTTATCAGTTAATCGATCAGTTCTTCAGTCAGTCAGTCAATCAATCAGTCACTCAATCATTCGGTCAGTCAGTCAGTTAGTCAGTCAATCAATCAGTCAGTCGGGTAGTCAGTCAATCATTCGGTCAGTCAATCATTCTGTCAGTCAAACAATAAGTCAGTCAATCAGTCTGTTTGTCAATTAGTCTGTTTGTCAATCTGTCAGTCACTTAGGCAGCCAATCAGTCAGTCAGTCAATCAGTTTTTAAGTAAGTCAGTCAGTCTATCAGTTAATCGATCAGTTCTTCAGTCAGTCAGTCAATCAATCAGTCACTCAATCATTCGATAAGTCAGTCAGTCAATCAATCAGTCAGTCGGGTAGTCAGTCAATCATTCGGTCAGTCAATCATTCTGTCAGTCAAACAATCAGCCAATCAGTCAGCCAGTCAGTCAATCAATCAGTTAGTCCTTCAATCTGTTCTTCAGTAAGTCAGTCAGTCAGTCAATCATTCGATCACCGAGCCAATTAGTCAGTCAGTCAGTCAATCTGTCTTCAAGTCAGTTAGTCTGAGCAAACAGTTTTATATACTTATAAAGATACATTGTTAAAAGCTTCTCTCCCACTTAATGTGCCAAATCTAGGGTATCTTATAGACAGCTATACAGACTAATACAAAAACAACTTGTTGTGGTTTTTAATGTGTCTGTAAACGTGTTCGTGTGTGTGTGTGTGTGTGTGTGCTGCTTCTTATTGGTCTTGCTGACAAAACACACGCTTTCATTTGATTTTCATTTCGTTTTCATTTCATGTCTCTAACTTTTCACCAAAAAGAAAACTTTTCCCCTTCCCGCTGCTGTTTTTATTTTTACACGTTTTTGCTTACATTTCGAACTTCATAAATTTTTAACTGATTGCCAAAGGCACAAACAGGCCACGAGTTTCGCTTTATTTCCTTTAGATACCCTCACAGAGGGTCATTTAATTTGGACACGACTCTGCGAGGACCTTAAAATATATATATATATTCTAGATCAGTATGACAAAGCGGGTCGGCATCGGACCTCCAGATTGTATGCCATATTTAGGAAAAATAAGTCGAGAAATATAATCTTGTATTGAAATATATTTAATTGGAGTCGGTCGAGAAATACATTCTTGTATGGAAAACTTGTTGCCTACTCAAAATATCCCAGCCAAACTTGGCAATTTCTTGCTCTACCAACAGCTTCATAAATAATTCTTATTATATTTAGCTATATCGTTTATTTCCCATAAAATATATTTGCCTCTCTACAGGGTATTTGGCCTCCTACAAAAATTGTTTCTTTTCTTTTTTTTTGTGGTTTACATTTTGTCAAATTTGTTGGGTAAATGTCAAAAGTTTTAGCAAATCGCAATGTCATTAAAGTTGTTACATAATTAAAATAAAAGGAATTCAGGGAATGCCAATTTGCATAGGATTCACACACACACCCACACACACACACACGCACCCACACACACATGAGAGCTGGCTTTATATTTAGATATTTATGCGGGGTAGCTGGGTCATTGGGTCATACGCTTGCCTGAGCCGGGCACAGGCACGCGGATATCCCGGACCCTATTTAATGTCGCTATCAGAGCCCGGCCAGGCGCGTGCCCTAATCCCAGGTGTAAGTGGATGTGTGTGTGTGTGTGCGGTCAGTAATTTTGCATAATTGGAAAGCAAACACTCGGGACATTACGAATAGCAACAAAAAATAAATAGGTTAAAGGTCTATACAACGAATTTCCTCACTGCAAGATATCCTAGCTTAATTTTATACGTACATACAAACAAGAAAGCTAATCTTCGGTATGAGCAATGTTTTTCCGATTATTTCAGATTTTAATTGACAGATCTTTATAAAATTTTGAGATCTTTAATATGAACTACAACGTGTCATACATTCCAAAGCGCAAGGCTCTACCCTTTTTAGTTCTCGGGATCAAAGCCTTTACACAGATGGACAGACTTTATGGGTTCAGAGAATCACTCTCCTGATTCTTACGTACTTTCACCCAAAACCAATATACCCTATTCGTTCTTTTTTCAAAAGTGTAAAGTACACACCATTTTAATTACTTATATTGCGTACGATTAGTTCGTGCTGCTTGCTGCTAATTACTTGACTTATCGATTAATCGATTAGTCAGCGATTGCACGATTGCATCGCGAGTAGTTTGGCAAACAACATAATCAAATGGAAATTAATGCGCATTAGACAAATTGAGTACCAAACAGTGCCAAACTGATGCGATACGTGACCAAAAAAACAGGACCTAATACAATTTTATATCGCACGCTCGTAACACTAGTCAACAGCGTTGCGAATTGGGCACCAGGGAATTGTAAAAACACAATTCTAAAATAATTGCACATATTTTAGTTTAAATTTTCTTCTTAAACTTTTTCATTAATGTATTACTGGCAAGCATTAATACAAAAAAAAATAAAATAAAATTGTTTAAAAACTTTTTATAAAAACACAAATTTTCACCCATATTCCGCCCTTGTAAACGAATTTTATTTTAAATTTAACTTAAACGTTCCACTTTTGTTCACATATTTATTTATTTATTGCTTCCTTCTTGCACAACCCTTCAAGACGTCGAATTATCTATCTAATTGAAATTCACAGCCTGTCCCAATTTTGTTGTTTAGTGTAATAGAGCACAAGTGGGTGGCTGCTTTAATAAAAACTTTCCGAAACGTGCTGACAGCAAGAAAGCAGCCTCGAAATATGTTGTGTGTGTGTCTCTGTGTGTCTCTGATGTGCCCGCTGATTTGAAGATTGAAGCAAAAGTAGGCACAAGGCGTAAATGAATATTGATTCATTGATTTCTAATCAATTCAGCAGCACGGGTGGTTCCATCAAAAAGAACTCACCCGCTGTGCCGCTTGCTCAACTCCAACTCCGAACCCTTCTAATTGCTGTTGACTATTTTGTTAATTTGGCAGCCAACTATTAATCCAGGGCTTATATGTATACCCTGAGACCATTGGGTAAAAGGGGTATATTGGTTTTGGCTAAGTTTGTGTAAGAAAAGGACTAAAGAAACTTTTGGACGATTAACTGAGTCGATCTATATTCTATATCGTACGCAAAGCAAGGCTTTCCATTTATTTCGATATCGATAAATATCGATTTTGCAACAAGGCTCTTTAAGCATAACTCAAAGAGTAGGCTCGGATGCCTCCCGCCATTTACCCTAAAATTAGAACAAGCTAAACAAAAATCACTTTTCAAGTGAGCTCTACAAATTACATATAGATCGGACTGTAAGCACCGAATTTTTCAAAGTTCGGCGCTTGGTTTAGGGTATCTCTGGGTCGAGCACTCCCCACTCCCACATGTTTTGGTGTCGATTCGTGTAACGCGTTTTGTGCGTGCCACATGATGAACTTCAAGTGTCTGGCAAGAGAATAATATTTGAGTGGGCAACATTTCATTCAGTTGAGCAGCAAAAGCAGCCGCAAAGTGGACGCCAGTGCAGGCAACGTGACGTATGCGTAATGCGAGTGACATTTGAAGTGACGCACAAGGCGGCCAAGGAACGCGCACAACATTTCTTGTGAAATATACAAAAATAAACGTAAAATGACATAAAACAATAAAAAAAAGACCAACTACCAGCAAGATGTACAAAAGAAAGGCCTAGAACCAGGCGGCAATTCAATTTGCAGAAATATTTAAAAACCAAAGTAACAGAAACAAAAATAGAAACTGCGCGCCAAAAATAAATGTGATTTGCGATAATAATTAATTATAAATAACAACAATATATGCAAACAATATTTGTGATTTTAGTTTATTAAAGCCCAGGCGCAAATTAAATCCAATTCGGCAGACAAAATAAAAAAACGCACAGCTAATTCAATTAAAGCCAACAAAAACAAATATAAAATCAACATCAGCTTGGACAAGCGTTTGAGGAACGGCGTCAGCGTGGGTCACAGCCAGAGATCGATTAGAGCCAACTCGAGGCGGAGCAGCGGCGCCTCTGGCCACAAAAGACGCAGCTACGTTTGGCCCTTCAGGATGCGAATGAAGGTCGGCAAATTCTGTCTGCAGCGCCAGGCGTCGGGCCAGAGCGAAAAGTTTCCACAGCCCAGGTGAGTTTACGCCGCAAAGGCGACAGCCGCAACGAACTCAAACTTTTTTCCGTAAATAAAGTTTATCAAAAAGTTTGCGAATAACCCTTATAATAAGCTAACAATGTCGATATGCTGACTAATAAATTGTTATCGATATGATTGCAAGTGCAAATTCATATAGATATTTATTCAATTTTTTTGAGTGACTCTGTCGATAACTGCAAAACGCTCAGTACTTATTTGTTATCGATAGTTCCGGCTGCATCACTATGACTATTTATCGAAAATTTGTGATACTGTCGTTATCGATAACTGTAACAGATCAAATATTTAATTGTTATCGATAGTTGCAGCTACTTATCGATAAATTCTGGATATTTGTGTCATCAATAAGTGAAATACGACAAGCAATATCGATTGATTAGATGTGAATGGGAACTCATGGTTATTTATCGATAGTCAACATTTGAAACGTATTTATATAAGCGTTTATCGATTGCTTATAAATTCTTTATTTGTATCGATATGTGCACAATCACTGTAACAATACGAGAGTTTATTTATCGATGTATACTGAGAAAAAATAAAAGACCCAATTGTTACACACAATCGAACAAGTAGAATAATATCACATTCAGCTTAATACACAATTAATTTTGCTGTTCTTTTTTCTTTAACATTTATAAGGATATGCAAACCCTCAGTGGACTGCCACGCTTCGAATTACAAGACGAATCCAGATAAATTATGAATAGAAATGAATAATATTTCGGACAGCTGCGCCTAATGAATGTACTGCAAAAGTATCCAATGTCTGACAGCCTATGTACATTTATACCTTTTTGCAATACTTTCTTGTTATACGTTCTCGTTACACCTGCTTGTTATACCTTCTTGTTATACCTAGATGTTACTCCTTCTTGTTATACCTTTTTGTGATACCTTAATTCCATTCAGGAAAGGGTAGATTTAATTTGTAAAAATGTATGCAAAAGGCAGAAGTTGATTTTCTAAAGCAAATATTCTCATCAGTTAATTTCTTGTTATCGATAGTTCCTCGCAAACAAAGCAAACATCGATTGCAATCGTTTGACAACTCTGGTTTTTTTAAGTTCTGATAGTCCTGAAAGTTTGATAATAATATATAGTGCATTAAGTACGACTGTGTATTGCGGCTCAGAGCAGGGTATCTGCCAGTCGAACAAGCCAAACTCAAGCCCCTCTCACTTGTTTTAAATTATTATTATTCCCAGCAACAAGTTCGCCCACATAAACAAGCGTATATATAAACATGTTCATCTGCGAGGAGAGCTGGCGGAACGCACGTGCCTTTGACCCAACTGGCAAACAACTCGATGCTGGGGGTCCCAAAAGAAGCCGAAAAAGAAAACATAAACATTCGGGAGTTTTGTTGGGCTCAAACTAATTTACCTCAAGTAAATGGCTGCGACATGTGTCGCCAGCACGCAGACCGCAAACGGGGAGAGGCTGGTCTTAATATAATGTCATACATTTAATTTCCGTTTGCCGACAAAAGGCTGACAAATGTCCGCCTGATATATTTGAATAAGCCGAGTAGAACATCGAATTTCAAAGCCAGCCCGGGCAACCAGGTGCCATCAATCCAAGCGCTCATCAATCAAGCCCAAGCACTCGAGCTGAAGACTGGGACTGACTGGGACTGGGACTAGGACGCCTGTCTCCCGTCTCCAGTCACGTTGTCCTGGCAACTTTTTCCGAACGTGTCGGGCAAGCAAAATCAAGCCAGACCAAAGCCAAATACTAATTAATTTGCCCCTCGCCTGCGGCCTCGTGTTAGCCAGCAATTATTTTTCAATTTACTTAAGAAGCGCACTATTAATAGACAATCGCCGGCCCGCAGGATATAACAGCCCCGCGGCGTATGCGTAATATCTGACGGGACTTATCACGCATACGCCCCCTTGCGCTTGGCGAATTGCCATCTAATTTTAAATAAGCCATTAACGTTTCGGCCATCAGCCTAACCAAAATGTGGGTCAACATCAACTAAACGTTCCACAGCTGACAGCACAACATTTGTGCACAGCCAGCAAAAACGATATGGGGAATGCTCGACTTAAGGATGCTCTGTTGAAAAGTGTGCTGACGATTAACAAAGGAGAGCTTCGAAAAATGATGTATATTATTTGCAAAAGTATATGGAAATATGAAGCTAAATTATATATCATAATACACAATCGTGTCGATAATCGAATAAATCGATATTCGATATATACATATAACTATTCAAATATACTTAGTGCTTAAAACTATAAACTCTAAAATATACCAAACATATTTTATATTCAACATTTTTTGTAGATAATAAAAATAGTTGAAATAAGCTGTTTTAAGCCCTTTAATGTAAAAACGTGCTCTCGACTCTAATTCCTATCGATAACTCTATGAAAATCCAATAACTATCGATAGCACAATCGATACAATTATAAGTCATTGTAGGAGAAATAATCGCTAAGGCTACCGATATTTTATCGACTTATCGAATTTGATGAATATCGATAACACAATCGATACGTTATGGGAAAATTTCCCTTTCGTAGCGATGCTAACAATAATAATCGCTAAGGAATTAATTCGATATTTGTATCGACTTTTAGTTGCTCTCGAATCAAATGACTATTGATAGCGCAATCGATAGTTTTTTTAACAATAATAATCTTCAAGTGATGCTATCGATACTTGTATTGATATGGTCTGGTTATCGATACAATCGATAGCTTCTGTTACTCATCGATATATATATCAGCTAGCTTCTTTAGCCTGTCATTTTGTCTAGACTTCGTGATGCCCTGTTAACCCATTTGCTGGCTACAGGGTATAACAATGATGATGATGACCTCGTCGAGGCGGCAAGGTCAATAGTTAAGTGAGGCTCCAGCGCCATTTTTACATTGTCGCCCGGCAGATTGTTGTGAGCACATTAAAAATGCGATTATGAATGTGCCAAAGGTTCAGAATGTATACATGTGTGTGTGTGTGTGTGTGTGTGTGCTGAGGGTGTGCATGTGTGTGTGAGAGAGTGAGTGAGTGTGTGGTGTCTTGACAACGTCGCTTTGTTCGTTATGTGTGAAGTGCGTAATGGCAAGTGTCATAAACGTTATGCATAATTAAAACATTTGATGCCAAAATTGGGAATTAGAGAATTGCGCCTGACACATTAGACAGATTCGAAAGGCGGGCAAATGACTCTGTGCGCGGCTGGAAATAGCGGAAAAGGTAAATTCAGGTGACAGCATTCAAGACACGTTAGAACAAAAGGCAGTAGAGAAGAAGATTTGGATGCCCATAGACATCTCTATGTTTGAGCACGAAGTTGGGCCTACACATACTTTAAATCAGCTTCATGAATGAAAAGTTGTTGTGGATTTGCAGCCATATTTGATTTTTCGTGGCGCTCGAAGCCCCAAAAGTATGCCACGGAAAGTTTTTATTGAACATAGGGATATTTCCAGCTCGGCAGGAGAATGGGAAATATAATGTTCCGTAAAAGGCAGGCACAAACGTTTAACAACATTGCTTTCATAAGTATAATAAATAAAAAAAAATAATAATTAAAGTGACTTCTAATTTATTGTGATTAAAGTTTTTCAGATCTAAATCAAAACTGAATCAATAAAATAAATATGAAAATAAATCTTCAAAATAAACTGAATTGCTTAAGTTAAAATTGATGAAGATAATTGCTTTTTCTATTGGTTCATTTGAACATTAGTTCAAATCGTGAACCGAACCATTGAAGTTGTTACCCATTTAACCATTCACATTGGTTCATTTGAACATTGGTTCAATCCATGAACCGAACCAATAAAACTGCTTCTCATTTTGCACCTCATCTTGGTTCATTTGCACAATATTTTTTCTACTCATTTTGCTTTTCTACAATTCTCTAACTGCCCTACCTCAAAATCGTGACATGTGCTTGAATATATTATTTATAAAGAAAAAGCTGCCAAGCCGGCGACAATAAATTAAAAATCCAACAACATATAAGTCGACCTTTGTAACTGATTAAATGCATTTATATATTATATACGAAACATATATTATAAAGAACATATATCAATACAATTATTTCTCAGAACAAAGAGTAGAATTATGTTAATTGATATTTAATCGAATGCAGCCAACGAGAGCTCACATTAATTCTATCCCAGCAACTTTTCACTTGTGCCAAGAGTTATATTATTGATATTATAGTATATATTATGATATATATTATGGTATATATTGTAAGTGTATATTATAGTATATTTTATAGTATATATCATAGTATGTATTGTAGCATACATTATGGTATATATTATAGTTTATATTATAGAAAATGTTATAGTATATATTATAGTATATACTTCAACATGTACTATAATTTATATTTTAGTATATATTGTAGCATATATTATAGTATATTTTATAGTAAATAATATAGTATATGTTATAGTATATATTATAGTATATATTACAACATATACTATAATATATATTTTAGTATATATGGTAGTATTTATTATGGTATATATTATAGTATATTAGAGTATAGAGTATAAAAAATTCCAGATAAGACGCGCAAACATTTTTAATTATAACGAGTATCTGTTATTCTTGAGCTATTTCCATATGCAGAGCTTTATAATAATGCATTTGCATACAATTCCTGCTACAGTGGAAATTCGTAGTTAACGTCTATAAAATCATTGAAAACACGTGCAAATTGCGTGGGAGTAAGGAAGGATGGTGGAGGGCGGTGCAGGGAGGTGCTTCCCATTGAATTGTGTGTGAAGCGTGCGTGAATTTCAATTAATTAACTCTGTGTGTGTGTGTGTGTGTTTCTTTTTTCTTCTCTTTCTTCTTTTAAGCAATGGAAATTTACAGCTGTCAAGAGATTTAACATGCTTATCAAGGCTGCCGCCGCTGTTATAAAAATAACTTTTCTCTCCCCCTACCACCCCCCCTCCCCTTGCCAGTCCACGCCACTCCTC